TGTTTTTGCAAAGATCTAAATCCCCAATTCTCGATCAAGGTACTTGGGCATTTTCTTCTTTTGCGTTCTCTTGCTTATGGATTTCTCCTCCAGGTGGTCCTCTAGGTCTATCTTCCAACATCAAGGTGTATATCTACGATCTTCCCTCCAGCTACAACACCGACTGGCTTGTGGATAGCCGGTGTAGCAGCCATCTTTTCGCTGCCGAGGTTGCCATTCACCAGAATTTGCTGCGCAGTCCCGTGCGAACCTTGGATCCGGACGAGGCGGACTTTTTCTTCATGCCCGTGTACGTCTCGTGCAATTTCACCAGCAGATCCGGGTTCCCGACGCTGTTTCACGCGTCGGACATTCTCCAGGCAGCAGTGGGCTTGGTTTCACGTAACATGCCTTTCTGGGATCGCCATCAAGGCCGAGACCACGTCTTTGTTGCCACCCACGACTTCGGGGCATGCTTCCATGCAATGGTACGTTTCTGGATCACGGCTTGATAAGTTTTGGCTCCTTCGCATGCATGCATGACTCTTTCCAATGTGGTTTTCTCAGGAGGATTTAGCGGTCACAATGGGCATCCCACAGTTTTTGAGAAACTCCATCATCCTGCAAACTTTCGGGGAAAAGAACAAGCACCCCTGCCAGAATGTGGACCATATCCAGATACCTCCCTACGTGGTTCCAGCCAAGAAGTTGCCCGATCCCAGGAGCCAGCGCCGCAAGATCCTGGCGTTTTTCAGGGGCAAGATGGAGATCCACCCCAAGAACGTTAGCGGCCACATGTACAGCAGGTACTTTTTTCCTCTTGTCTTTCACTGTCCGGATTGAAAACCAACTTTGTCGTGGGTGATTTTAATGCAGGGGCGTGAGAACCACAATCTGGCGACGCTTCTCGCACGACCGGCGCTTCTTCATAAAGCGCAAGAGGTCCGACAACTACAAGGCGGAGATGCTGCGCTCGGTGTTCTGCCTGTGCCCGCTGGGGTGGGCGCCGTGGAGCCCGCGCATCGTGGAGTCGGTGATCCAGGGCTGCATCCCGGTGATCATCGCGGACAACATCCAGCTCCCCTACTCGCACGTCATCGACTGGAGGAAGATCTCGGTCACGGTGGCGGAGAGGGACGTGCACAAGCTGGACAGGATCCTGAGCAGGGTGGCGGCCACCAATGTGTCCATGATCCAGGCCAATCTCTGGAGAGACGAGGTGCGCCAGGCGTTGGTATACAACCAGCCGCTCGTTCGTGGCGACGCGACGTGGCAAGTTCTAGATCTCCTGTCCAAGAGGAAGAACAAGGTGGCGGAGGCGGGGTCCCGGATAAAAGTGGCGTGAGTGGACAAAGTTTGGAAGGAATCGGATTCTTTTTTTTTTTTTTTTTTTCTTACTTACAAGCAGGGATGGAAGAGAAACAAGGAAAACGAGGCAAGCTCGTGTCGTCTTGTTTACTCGCTGTGTGTGTGTGTATATTTTGGCCAGTTACATTCATTATACCAGAAATTCTTTTGTCTCAAAGTGTACATGCTTTGATAATATGATCACATGTTGTGAAGCTCCCTCCAACCATAACGCTTCATCTCCTCGCCCAGTTTTATTTCTATCTGAGACGCTTGGGTGGAGCTCCCAGAGTTCTCCTGGGGGTTACCGGCAGCGTTGGGGCGGTCAAGGTTGCGACGCTGGCGCATAGCCTGTGTTGCTGGGCCGAGGTGAAGATCTCCGGCAGTGGGCCGATGCCATGCTCATCGCGCCACATTCCATGGCCAAGGTGAAACATAGACACCATCTTCACTGTTTGTTACTAACACAATGCTACCATGATAGATCGCGTATGGACTGACGTGAGGGTCCTGCAAAGCATCGGGCTGGTCGTGGTGCTCGGAGAGGACGGTGCCATGGCAGAGGTCTCAACCCTGGACGCCATCCTGACATGCTATCTCCTCGATAAAAGGTGATGAAACTTTGTTTCAGAAGTTGATCACATTGACTTTGTTTCTAGACTCGTACAAAATGTGTCTGTTAGTGATCATATTCGTTGTAAAGTTCCGTTTTGTACAAAACTGCAAAACGAGAGGAACTGTGACATCTTTCCTCTGCAGGAGTGTCATGGTGATATGGTCGATGTTTCATTCACCGAGTTTCTTCCGGCCCGCAAGGATCCGAGAGATCTGGAGGCCCGGCTAAAGGCCTGGTTGAAGAGTAGCCGCGTCTGGAACTCGGACACGAATGGGAACCACGCCAGGATCGCAACGGGCGTGAAGATGAGCAGCCCCATGAAGAACTCATAGCTCCGTGCCAGGGCCCTGACGGAGCCCCAGAAGCCCATCGATTCCACCAGTGGCCGGCACGCCATTCCTATCTGCGGAGAACAAAAGCAAAAGAGAGAGTTAATCAAAGCGTCAGTAAGAAAAAGGCTGCCAGTTTGCTGGTGGAAGTTTGGTAAGGAAAAGAGGAAGAGTCTGGTGTCGATAGCTTTACCTGCAAGAGGGCCCAACCAGTTGGGAGGAACGCGAGTAGCGTGACAAAGAGATCTCCGACCGTCAGGCCAACCACCACGAAGAGTATGATGATTATCGAAACAAATCCCATGAAGAGCATCCCCTTTAAGAGCCGGAACATGAGTTGGAAGTCACCACTGAAGCGTCTTCGTCCCATCGACACGATCTACAAAAAATTACAAAATGGCATAAGTTTCTTGTATCGAAAGAATACTCGCTGGTTACCTTTAAAACGATCAAAATGCCGATTATCACAAGCCACGACAGAGCGTATATCTGCAAGCAGACACGCAACGCTATAAAATAAGCATCAACAGAATGGACTTACCAGAATGTTCTTGTGACCGCTGGTGATGTTGAGGTGGTAGACGAGGCCATACTGATACAGAAAGAAGCGTATCGCCAAGAGAGATTCCATGATTCTACCACGCAAGCCTGTGTGGTTGAGATAGGAATGCTCCTCGTCCCACCAGGACTGCCAGCTCTTCACCGCGGCAATTCCTATTCCTCCCGAGTTAGCAATCCACCTGTTCCAGTCGTCCCAGTCTTCCACGATCTTTTGCCACTCGAAACCTGACGGATTGAACAGAAAGGGAGCGAATAGCCAGGTGACCACCAGGAACCACATAGAAGCCGTGATGAACATATAAGCGACCGCACCATTCCCGGACGAACCATAAGCTACGTAGACAATCAGCAGGATCATGAGTTCCAACGCTTTGGTGAAGTGGCTTCTCGAATATAACCGATAATTCTCAGCAAATCTTTCATGACGAACGACGAAGCCTCGGCCGGTAGCTCTGTACTTTGCCCCTCCGTGCAGTATCGTTCTACCGAAATAGTGAACCTTGGTGCCGAGAGAAAAGGTAAAGAAAACGGAAGCCAGTTGAAGCTGCATTATGATGAAGTCGCTGATTGCTGTACGAAAGCCCCTCTCAAGACCGATCTCCATGATCATTGGAAGTGCCATCAATAATCCAAGCTGAACCAACGATTGGGAGGCCAAGGCAGCTTGCAGGCTCACGTCTTTCTTCATGTTTGCAACTTTTAACAGCGACTTCTCCATGCCACTTAATGATAGATACAGCCGTCCGTAGAGAAAAACATAGACTGTGAGCACCACGATCTGCACAAAGTATCTTTAGAATGATGGAAGCAGAACAAACCAGTTTCATACCAGGGCGTTGACGTAGAAACCAACTGTTGTAAAATAGCAGGACATCATGCGGAAAAAATCAAAACGATGGCCGAGTCGATAGATATCTCTACTCAAAGTCTGTTCACCATTCCCGTTTGCTACTTTTGCCTCAAAAAGTGTTATTTGGTTCAGTCCAACATCACGGCCCTTCCCGACCTGTATGTATTCGTGATGTGTTACATTTCCTCGTCGCAAAGTTGAATTGAACCCTGCAGTACTCACTTATCTAGTGATGTAACCTTAGAACATTAAGTTTACCAGCAAAAATATCTTCGCTCAGATTGATAACTTTTGAAGCTTTGCTGATGCCACCTCTTGTTATGTGAAAGAGTCTGTCGAATACATCTGGATGTCCGTAATGGAACCGCACCCTGAAAGACAAAAAAAACATATTAATACAGAAGATTCTGCTGTTAATGGACTTACTTTAATGGATTCGCAAGCACCCGCTGCCCGATAGTGACAAAACTTGTTTCTTGGTTCGACATAAACCACGCCAGGGAAGAAACACTGATAGCAATGACTCAGAACCAGACAATTTTGAATCAGATCAGTTACCTTCCCGTAAAAATATGTTCCCTCACACCAAGAATACTAGGAGGCCTCACCCCGTGATCTTCATGAAATTCTTCCAAAAGATTTCGCATCTTGAATGCTTCCTCCAAGTAGTTATCCTAAACCAAAAAGATTAAACATCTGGTTTTAATAATTTGACCTTACCTGGTTCATATCAATCGTCTGAAGAGCCTCGCCTCGCGTAAAAATAATTGCATGATTTTGATTTTCCGGTTTTCCCTCCCCTAGTTTAGCTGGACCTGGTAACTTTATCCTGTATATTTCCTGAGAGCCACAATACATGAGCAGATGACAAACAAGAGGAGTCCAAGTCCGCATACCTGATCAAGCCCGTCGACAGCCTTTACCAAGACAGAGTAGTATACTTTCTTGCTTTTATTGTCTTTCTGCGTCTCCTCAACTTCATCAATATATGCAACGCGAAGTGATGGATGCCTACATTTCGAGCAAGCAAGGTTATCTTACATGTGAGATCATAAATTAAAAACTTCTTACTTCAGCATAAGGTTCAATATATCTGTTGCTCGCTGATCACCTGAGCGCTTTTGAAGTCCATAAATCTGACAAGTAGCAACGTATGTGAACTTCATGTCGGCGACAGCTTGCAACTGCGCCCATACAGATCTTTGACTCTTTTTCGTTTCCTTTGAAGAGCAACCAATCACTTTGTAGCCTTCCAATATCTCTGCAAGCAATCAAGAAATATTAACTACAATTTGGAAGAGGAAGTTCTTACCGTCGTCAGATGCCATGTCAAGAAACGCTTGTAGTTCGAGTGCTCTTCGGTAGTACATCATTCCCCTTACTGCAAATATTTGTCGTGCATTAAAAGCCATAATAAAAAACAAGCAGCATACCAGTTCTTAGAAGAGTTTGCCCCCTAAATGATGCCCAATGACGAAGCTGCATTTCGAACTCCTCGTTCCCCCACGCATCAGCATCCGACTTACATGCGATTCTCTCCAAAAAGTTATCCCATTCGTCTGCAAATTATTTTCCTTGATCAGTATACCAGCCAAAAGTGAATACAACTCGCTTGCCTGGATATATCTTTTGAAGGTAGAAAAGTATAGAAACACCGTCTTCGTTCTCTAGATGAAGCTGCTCCTTGGTAAAAACAATGTCTTCACTGTAGTACGGAGTGAGCACGCTGTAAACCAGAAACAAGTATAAACCACGAGAAACTTCATTTGGACAAACTAGCAAACCTGAACGGTAGCATTTTCCTGACTCGAGGAGCACGTGGCATATCCATGAATAACGAATTTGTGAAGAACGCAATACGTCGGCGGGCTTCTAGGTTCACGGGGACATCCATAGCAGACTCTTTTACAGTCAAAAGCAAATGAAGTCTATTGACCTGTAGATACAACTTATACGGTTAGACAGCACAAGAGTAAGGAAAAACAAAATTACTTGCTCAAACCACGCGTCTGTAGCGGGGGGTGGATAAAGAACAGAGTCGAATAGCTGATTTGTGGAATTTGAGTGCTTGGTATTTTTAAGTTCCACTTCTTCGACCATCATGTCTTTTGTGACAACTTCATACATATCTTGCAGGAGTAAGATGACCGTATCCCGGGCGTTTGGATCCGGACGAGCCTGACACAGAAAGTGATTTTGAACAAAAAACCGTGAAGAAAAAACAGCATGTTACCAGAAGCTCCACCAGCCTCACAAATTTTGAAGCAAGTGAAGGCAGAGCGCTTAATTTGAAATGATGCAGAAATGTATTGGCTTGGATGTCCCGCTCGACAGTGTGTATTATATCTTCAATAATTCTGAAATGATGTATTAGCAACTGAAAATAGAATTAACTGGAGATAGTACCGCTTGTCCGGTTCATTTCTAATAATTGTTTTAATGACGGCTTTGAAGGCTTCATAACATTCCTCAACAGCGCAATGCCTGTAGTCATCGGCCTTGATTTTGCGCCAGAGATCTATATTGTCTTTTCCGCGATATTCTGCAGCCATTTGCAATGCAACAGGAATCTGGAAACGAGTATTAGTCCTAGCCAAATTGTGCAGTTGATTATACCTTACTAGCCAATAAGAATGGTGGCCATTGCACAATCGAAAGATTAGGATCCGATGAATATGGAACAAGCATCAAGTTCATTTCCCTGTAAACAGTCTCAAGTTAGAGAACTTTCAGGAACACAGCGCACTTGCCTGTTGTTGATAAGGTCCTCTTCACGAAAACTAGTGATGACTTCATTCCAAAGCTGAGAAAATCTTGCAGCTTGTTTCCTGTCCTTCCCTGTATTCTGCAACGTAAATG